GGGGGTCGCTGCGCGGGCGCGGGGGGCCCGCGCCCGGCAGCGGCGGCGGCGGCGGCTCGAAGGCGAAGAAGAAGAACGGGCGGAGCCGGGGGGGAAAGGCCAACAACCCGCCGTACCTGCCGCCTGAGGTGAGCTGCCCCGGCCGGGCCGGTGCCCGCCGCGTCCCGTCAACTGCGAAGGGGGTGACTCCCGCCCGGGGGCCCGGCGCTGCTCCTGTCAGGGCCCGGGGGCGGGGGGCGGCGGAGGGAAGGCTCGGTGCTGGGCGGGCTGGCAGCCCCGGCCCCCGGCAGGGTTTGTTGGCGGGTCAGGCTGGAGGCGGGTTCTGGAGAGGGTCCCGGCGGTGTTGGTGCGGGGTCGCCCCGGGGTTGGGCTGGCGGCTGCCGGGCGGCCCTGCAGCCCCGGCTCTGGAACCGCGTCTCCCCCTGCTCCGGGGTCTCCTCCGGGGTTTGATGTGGCAGCCCCCCAGTGCCAGCGAGCTCCCTGCGTCGTCTACCAAAACCTGTCCCTTGGTAGCATCTCGCTGCCTGGCACCTGTCTGTGGGTGCTTTGCCGTCTGGGAACTAAACAACTTCAGAAATAAAGCTTTTGCTCAGCTCGTAGTCCTGAGCATCCTGTTCGCGTCTCTCCCTGAGAGACGTGGGTGTAAGTCCCTTTCCAGCTGCTGAAGTCAAAGTAGACATTGCTCAGCGGGTTCTAGTGACTCCCTTCCCAGCTAGTTTGGCAACTGTTTTCTGACGTGCAGATGCAGACGGTACTGACTGAGTGTGAGGCACCTGCCTCTTGCAGAGGGAAAAAATGGTATTGGTAGTAAGTGGGTGTGTTGGTTAGTTCAGGCAGTTGGCACCACACTAATAGACTGTCACTGTGGAGAGCGTTACGTTGCCCATGGAGTCGATTGCTTGGCCCCACTCAGCGAGCTTTCTGTAAAATATAAGAGCCTGCGCTGGGAAGAAGCGATTCCTCCACAAGGCAGGGCTGTGACTCTTGGCAAGAAGGGGAAAAAAGTGCTTTGCTACTGTTAGATCTTCTCCACGGGCAGGATTGTTCCCTGCAGCCGCAGCTTAGTTTTTGTTCTTTTCAGCTGGAGGCTGGATGGCCCCCTGTGGTTTCAGCAGAGCTTCCTGTCGCTGGCTACCCTCTGCAGTATGTGGCCCAGCAAGTCTAGGCTTGTTGCTTTTCTAGTCCCAGCTGCCTTGAAAGAGACCCACCCCCTTATTTAGACGACAGCACAGTATGTGAATGTGTTTTTCTTAGAGCTGGGAAGCTGGTAGATGGTAAGAGAGAAAAACCTTCCGCAAGTACCCTTTTCTCACTGCATAGCTCCGCTGTCTGAGAGCTGAGTTGACAATTTGGAACTTCCCTCTTGGTATTTTGCCACTATAAGCACCGCTGTGGCTAGAAGCTGAGCTAGAAGGCAAGGAGAGGGCTATTGCCTCTTCTGACATGTAAATCGGTGTCCCGAGGAAAAGGAAGTGCTTAGTCTTGGCAGCCCCATTTAGTCTGCCAGCTTGCTTTCTTATGTCTACAGTCCTTCTCTCTTGCAGAGAGTAGGTATGCAAGGATATGCGAAGGAGTCCATTAAAAACTAATTGAGTGAGGGAAGGTATCAGTGTGCAGGAGAGGAGGCAGCGACTTCTATTCCCTGATTCTGACCATATTGGGTGAATGGAAGCTGCTGGGTAGGGTGGGAATGGGATGCAGTGGGGTAGCATTGTGGGTCATGGATGGGTGATGGAGGAAACTTAATCACCTGTTGGCCCATGCCTTTTTGGAACTGGAACTCTCTCACTGTGACCGTTAGACTGGCCCTATTCTTTACTGGCAGTAAAAAAAATCTCCCCCAAACAGTATTATCCACTGTGTCCCTCCCTATTTTTGTCCTCTGGTTTTCATGATGTGGGATGTAAACAGCAGAAATAAACCTAAAGTAAGTTCTAGTTGAGTGTAGGAATGAATGGCGAAGAGGCTGTGACTTAACACAGTATATTTCTGCCACTTTCCCTCTCTCTGAAACCATCAGCATGAGCTGTGGGGTATCTGGGCAGCTGACACCTATAGAAGTCCCCGATGGCAGAGCATCTAACCTTTCTGTCTTGTTTCATTCTCTGACCAGGCAGAAGATGGGAACATCGAATACAAGGTGAGCCTTTTGATGTTGCAGAAGGAGGTCTTCCTCCCAGAGGGGTTATTTTGCAGTAATAACTTCACCAAAGACAGCAAATGGGGAACATGTCCAAGGAAGGGACAGAAAAGTGGACACCATACTAAGGAACTATCAGTCATCTTCTGTGTCTTTGTGCCTAGCAATACCCAGTATACTTAACTGGAAGAGTTTAATCTTGGTACTCATTTTTAGAAATCTGTTTTAGGAGATGAGACCCACTGTGTTTTTTATGAAATCTTGCTTTTGAAGAGAGCCACAGGTGTCCCTGATAGTCATTTGTCCCTTTCTTGTGGCTCACAGATAGGTCCCACAGTGCTGTCTTTACCCCCCATAGCAGGGAGGGTACAGATCCCTTTGCTAAGATACAGGAGGTTTTTCTAACATATACTGTATGTACCTCTGTGAATTCCTTTCTCACCTGCCCTATGGCTTCCATGCAGACACTAACATGGGCTGTGTTTTCTAGAGGTGGGTCAGAGTTGAGGGTGTTGCTTCGTGGTGTTGGGTTAGGGAGTTGCTGGCTTGGGCAATGGGATTTCCTTTGCATCCAGGCTGTGACTAACTGCCCCCTCCATTAAACAGCTAAAGCTGGTGAATCCCTCGCAATATCGCTTTGAGCACCTGGTGACACAGATGAAGTGGCGACTACAGGAGGGCCGAGGTGAGGCTGTCTATCAGATCGGTGTGGAGGACAACGGGCTGCTGGTGGGCCTCTCAGAGGAAGAGATGCGTGCCTCACTCAAGACACTGCGCCGTATGGCAGAGAAGTATGTGTTCCCTTTCATCTGCAGGACCTGGAGGCAGAAACAGCCTCCGGTAGAGAGGCTTGTTCCCAGAAGTCCCCTGAGAGCTGATGGCTGCATTCTACAAAGCCCCTGTATGATTGAAATTCCCTTATCATGAGGCTCTGGAAATACAAAGGCTTTTGGCTGGAAGCCTGAGGCTCCTTCCTTGCTATTCCTAGTTTTCATTCTACTCACTTTGCCAGCTGTGATTCTAGAGGTGCAAGAGCTGCTTGTACAAGTGTGTGTCTCACTCCTTCCTTTCGTGTTTGTGGCAGGGTTGGGGCTGACATTACAGTGCTGCGGGAGAGAGAGGTCGATTACGACAGCGACGTTCCGAGGAAGATAACGGAGGTGCTTGTCCGAAAGGTGCCTGACAACCAGCAGGTAGGGACCTGCAACTTGGCCTTCCTCTCCTGCTGGAGGCTTAGAGGCTTCATACAAGCAGCTTCCTTTTGGGATGGGAGCCCAAACCCTAGAGGCACTTTGTCATAGATTGGCCCATAGCAGATGCTTTAAAGAGCTGCCAGAGGGAGGCTTCATGATAACACTTTTCATCTCCAAGATTATGGTTGAGGCAGATACCAGTAGGGAAGATTGCCTGGATTAGAGGCAAGAAATTATTTACTTCTGCGGCAACAGTTTTGATGCAGGCCATTGTGCAAGCAAGGAAGGATTTAGAGGTCCTGCTGCAGCAAATGGCCTTTTTTGTGATATTAAAATTTAATGTGTCACATCACAACTCTAGAAAGCGCATTGCAACTCCTGGACAGTGGTTTGCTGGGAGCAAGAGCAGAATCTGAGCAAAATTACACTGCGCAGTGTCCATCGTGGAGGGAAGCTCTCTGAGGCACATCTCACTGCCATGTAGTGTTCATGCACATCCAGCACAGCAGTGGTTAAGTTTCATGGTTTCTCTGTTCTTCTTCCTGTAGTTCTTAGACCTTCGAGTGGCTGTGCTGGGGAATGTGGACTCGGGGAAGTCAACCCTGCTGGGTGTCCTAACACAAGGAGAGCTGGACAACGGGAGGGGCAGAGCACGTCTCAACCTCTTCCGGCACCTCCATGAAATCCAGTCAGGAAGAACGTCGAGCATCAGCTTTGAGATCCTCGGCTTCAACAGCAAAGGAGAGGTGAGATGGGCTGATGAACTCAGAAAGCTGGAGGAGAATAGGACTACCCTCCTGTTACAACTGAGAGGACACAGCTCGTGTCCCTCCTGGGTGCTACTTGTCCATTTGCAACAGACGTTGTTTCTTATACCTCTGGTGAATGATGTCTCCTCACTAATTTTGAGGTCAAAGTCGATAGATAGGAGCTGGGTTTTCTTCACTTGCCTGCTCCTTTTCTCACTGAGTTCTTATGTTCATCAGGTGGTAAATTACAGTGACTCACGAACAGCAGAAGAGATCTGTGAGAGTTCTTCCAAAATGATCACCTTCATTGACCTGGCTGGCCACCACAAGTATCTGAAAACAACCATCTTT